GGTGTGCTATATTTATGCTCGATATCAGAGATAGAGCGTGTGTAAATATAAAAGTGAACATAGAAGTCAACACTTAGAGGCGACAGTCTGTTTCATGCTAGATGCAATCGTCAGGCCACGATTGCATATAGCATGAAACAGACTATATATATATAATTTAATTTAATTAAAAATATATATATAATTTAATATATAATATATAATATATATATATAATATACAGTGTAACCTGGATATAAGAGAAACCCGGATATAAGAGAGATTTTATCTGGTCCCAAATTAGAGCCCATACTTACCTAAACAAAATAGACCAAACCCGGATATAACAGAAACCCGGATATAAGAGACTTCTCCGGTCCCGACAACTCTCTTATATCCGGGTTACACTGTATATATAATTTAATATATATATAAGTTAAAATTTAATGTATAATATATATAATTTAATATATATAATTTAATATTTATAATTTAGTATATATAATTTAATATATAATTTAATATTATAATTTAATATATAATTTAATATTTATAATTTAATATATTTAATATTTATAATTTAATATATAATTCAATATTTATAATTTAATATATAATATAATTTAATATATATAATTTAATATATAATATATATATAATTTAATTTAAATAAAAACTCCTTAGGTTTACCCATACGGATTACCTAGTTTTTCATAAACTAACAATATATATATATATATATATTTGGTTGGATAGATGTGAGTTTGTGACCCTGGGTTTCATGCTTGATCAGTTTGTCTGACGATCGCTAAAGCGTGAAACCCAGGGTCACAAACTCACATCAATCCAACCAAATATGTTAGCTCTATCTCTGATATTGAGCGCTTTCTAATAAGTACCGCGCATATAATATATAAATATATACTATTTACATTATTCGGACTATTGTCCTCATCTTTGTCGCCATGTTTATCACAACGTTTCGGCCGTTATACAACCTGAAGAAGGCCTGAATGTCAAACTGAACCCTTTATTTTGCTCACAAGGGTAGAAAATGCTAGTTCCACGTGCCATGTCTAATGGGTGTCAGTTATCTCCTGTTAATTCCGCTCAAAGCTTTCTCCACTGCCTTAACCGGGTATTGAACTCACACTCTTTGGCTCCTGTCTGTGGATCTAACTACCGCTTTTATCCACTGTACCATGTGTCCTTGAGGACATCTGTGTATGATTTTCTGGATATTATAAACCTAATGCCTTCAGCACCCTTTTTTACCAGTGCTCATATTGCAATTTTTGCTGTTATCATTGCATATGGAGAGAAAAGGGAGATCCCCGCCCTCTGTGGGATCAAGTTGAGATCATAGACAAAGAACACCATTAGAAAATGCGTAAGCTTAAGGAATCAGCACATATGCTAGACCAAAAAAATCTCCTGAGCCGACCAAGCATAGAAATGAATACAATATGGGAATCAGTAATAAGGAGTTCTAGAGAAATGCAATAACAACACTAAAAAAATTGTAATACGAGCTCTGGTAAAAACATAATTTGATAATAGCAAAAATTACAATATGAGCACTGGTAAAAAATGGTGCTGAGACATTAGATTTATAATACCAAGAAATTCATACACAGATGTCTTCACATAGCACAGCGGATAAAGGCGTTGGTTAAATCCAGTGACAGGAGCCAATACCAAGGAGTTCAATACCTGATTAAGGCAGTGGGAATTAACAGGAGATAACTGATAACTGACACCCCTTAGACATGGCACGTGGAACTAGAACAGTTTACTCCAGTGAGCGAAATAAAGGGTTCAGTTCGACATTCCAACCACCTGAAGAAGGCCGGAGCGTACAACGGTCGAAACGTTGTGATAAACATGGCGACAAAGATGAAGACAATAGTCCGAATAATGTAAGCAGTGTACATAATACCTCATCTCAGAAATATAGACACACACACACATACATGATGTTAGCTCTATCTCTGATATTGAGCGCTTTCTAATAAGTACCGCGCATATAATATATAAATAATTATACATGCTTATATTTATATATACACTTTTCACACACACACACACACACACACACACACACACACACACACACACACACACACATATATATATATATATATATATCAAACACAAAATCTGGATAAGAACAAATTATCCTTTTCTGATCTGTCTGTAACCTGTGTGACATTCCCTGAGGTTTGACTTAATGTTGTGCAATTTATTGGCCTGACAGTTGTTGCCGTTTGTCTTTCATAAACCTGTTGATAGATGGGCGCATGTCAGCGCGTGGAATTTTTATAATTGAGGGTCTCATGTTTAACGAGACTTTTACCGCTTTATCCGCTTTTTTTTCATTTCCCTGGGTACTGATATGTCCCTGTAGGCAAAAGCAATAAAAATCTGTGTAAATTTTAATGGGGCTTATAAGATTTCGCTAACGATCCGCTGGGAAATCATTCACTAGACTGATATTTCAAGGATGAAACAAATCACGAAGTTTGATCAGCCAAAGTGTGCGAGGTATTCATTTATTATCCACAAATAAATGGAACATCCTTTTTGCTAAATATGAATAAAAAATAGATCGGTTTCGTTACTGCATTTATTAAAATTAAGATTATCAATAATTTTAAAGTGTTTACAGAAAATAGAATGAATTTCTCTGTCTTGAAACTGACTACCTCCACCTTAAACTAGATACTTACATGGCTCCGGGCTCCGGTCCTGTGCTGGTGGCATCACGGCTATGACTAGCTTAGACCAGCTCTGACTAGCTTAGACAAGCTATGACCAACTAAGACAAGCTTAGACCAGCGGCCCGAGTGAAATCACTCGGGTCCCCACGTTAAAAACTGACCTTGTGTCACAACCTGACTCAGTGGGGGTGAAGTAAATATACCTCCACCTTAAACTATTGTTTAAATAAAAAGTTGATGCGGTTGTAACAGAACGGGACTCGGCTGTCATTGGAACAAGATAGAAAGGAAAACGGCCGTGATTAGCATTTTCTTGGTGGGCAGCTGTTAAATATTCGGCGTAGGAAATAGCTGATAAGTATTCGGCGTCGAAAATAGCCGTTAAGAAGGCGACGTCGGAAAAAATCGAAAAGCATTAGGCCTAGTAAATAGCTGACAAGTATTCGGCGTCGGAAATAGCCGTAAGTATTTGACGTAGGAAATAGCCGATAAGTATTTGGCGTCGGAAAATGCCGATAAGCATTAGGCTTTGCAAATAGCAGACTAGTATTCGGCGTCGAAAATAGCCGCTAAGTATTTGACGTGGGAAATAGCCGACAAGTATTCGGCGTCGGAAAATTCCGATAAGCATTAAGCTTCGTAAATAGCCGACAAGTATTCGGCGTCGGAAATAGCCATTATGCATTTGACATCGGAAATAGCTAATAAGTATTTGGCGTCGGAAAATGTCGATAAGCATTAAGCCTCGTAATTATCCGACAAGTATTCGGCGTCGGAAATAGCCGATAAGCATTAGGCTTCATAAATAGCCGACAAGTATTCGGCGTCGGAAATAGCCGCTAACACATATATTGAGACGAAGCATCCATTTTGCATCCCATTAGTAAAAAGAAAGTTCAATTCTGACATCTTCCTAAGAACTGCTATTTTATGTAACAGACTCCCAGGTGGATGTTTCCATGTTTGCTAGGATCGTAACTTCTTCAAGAGTAGGATTAACGCTTACTTTTTCTCTATGTCTTCCTAAAACTGCATTTGTTACCTCTTCATCTTACAGTCATACAACAACTTTATTCAGTAACCGTGTAGTTTGAGTGATTCTCGAGCCTTATACTGGATGGAATTTAGGAAAAAAAAATTAAAGAATAAAACCCTGTCTTCCATTTTCGACGTCTGGATAGCACACAAGGTCTGTAATAACTCACAACTGCTACAAACGTTAATTGGGTCTTCATGGAACTTTCAAGAAATGGAAACAAAAGTAATTGCCTCTCGTGTCATGCGACATATGGGGCGACTTTACTTGCTATCCTTTGAAGCTTCCTACAAACTGTCGTAGCAGCTGTGCCGAATATGGTGAAAGAATTCGACAATGAGGGAGAAAGATGAAAGGAAGAAAAATTTTACGCAAAAAAAAAAAAAAAAAAGAGACTAAAGTCATCGTAATTTGTTGAAATTGTGTAAGCCCCTCTCTTGTTGATAATTGACGATGTAGCGGACTGGAGGAGCTGTTGAATGATGGCTCGTCTCATGGGGTTCGAACCCTTCCGTCAGCTTGTTATTTTAACCCTGAGAGTCCTATTTTCGTCATCCATCTTGCCATGAACACGGGACAGCCTTTCCAGTGATATCCCTGGAATATTTCACGCGGAGTCTGTTTGACCTCAAATTAACTTTTCCTTCAGATGGGAAAAATCTTGAATAGAAATGGTTCACGTGATAATCTGGATTTAAAAAAAAAAAGAAGACTTCTCCGCCGAACAGCCGTTTCTCGCTTGCTTCGTGTTTTTATTTTTCCATCTTACTTTTCTTTCTCCATCTTATATTTGAAATTTTTCTCGTTTTTTGCTTTTGTTCTCTATTCTTCACACACTCCTTTGTTTTCTCACTTTCTTTTCTTTTTCTTTTTCATTCTCACGTCCCTTTCTCTTCTTCTTTTCTTCTTTTCCACAGCTGCTTTTACTTCTTCATTTTTCTTCTTTCATCTTTTCTTTCTTTAAATCCTTTCTGTACGCTCTCCCGTCTTTCTTTCTTTCTTTCTTTCTACTATTTTTTCACCTTCCTCGTCCCTTTATAATTTCCATTTTCATTCTTTCCACCCCCTTCTCATTTTCTCTCACTGTTACCTTCAATTTTTCTTTCATTTCTTTTGTACTTTCTTTTCTTTTATACTCCCGTTTTTCTTTTCTATCTGCATTATCATTTACCTTCTTCTCCTAGTGATTGCTCTCCTTGTGGATTTCATCATCATTATTATTATTATTATTATTATTATTATTATTGTTGTTGTTGTTGATCTCAATGTTGCTTACATTATTTCACTTCTTGCTCTCCCTGCTGCTTTCATTCCCCTTCAACTACTTCTTGCTCTCTTTCTCTCTTGCTTCGAATTCTTTTTGCTCGCGCCCTTGCTTTCATTCTCCTCTTTGCTCTCTAAATAGCTTACATTCTGCATCTTATTACTCTCTTCTTTACTTTCATTCTCCTTCTTCTACTTCTTCTTGTTCTCTCTCTCTCTCTCTAGCTTTTATTCTCCTTCTTCATCATTTTACTCTCTCTTTTTCTCTCTTGCTTTCATTCTCCTTCTTCTACTTCTTCGTGCCCTTTCTCTTGATTTCATTCTCTTTCTTGTACTTCTTCTTGCTCCCTCCCTTGCTTTCATTCTCCTATTTCTCCTTGCCCTCTCTCTCTTGCTTTCATTCTCCTCCTTGCTCTCTCTCTTGCTTTCATTCTTGCTTTCATTCTTCCTTTTCTTTTTCTTGCTATCTCTCTTGCTTTCATTCTCCTTCTTCTACTTCTTCTTTCTCTCCCTTCTGTTTTCATTCGTATTCTTGTTTCTTCTTCTTCTTCTTCTTCTTCTTCTTCTTCCACCGTCGTTTTAATTCTACTTCTTGCTCTATATTGCTTTAATTCTCCTTGTTGGTCTCATTTTTCTTCTACAGTGTAACCCGGATATAAGAGAGTTGTCGGGACCGGAGAAGAAGTCTCTTATATCCGGGTTTCTCTTATATCAGGGTTTGGTCTATTTTATATACATTAACACAGGCTCTAATTTGGGACCAGAGAAACTCTCTCTTATATCCGGGTTTCTCTTATATCCGGGTTACACTGTACTAAAATGTTCTGCTCTCCTCGGTCACATAGCGCGTTGATCATAACTTCATGCCAAGGCCAACTAAACTTACTTTAATTATGGTTGTGAGAGAGGATCGAAAACAATACAGACTAATAATAGCCTGTGAGATTGGCTCGTTAATCAGTACACCGCAGCGTTGCAAACTATATCCTTTACTAAGACTTACTCAAGATCACAAGTGAGAACTGACTCCGCACTCGTAACGGTCAGTTAGAAGAGACCGCTAATCCCTAATCTATGACACATCTACTTAGCTTACAGAATGGGATGTCTATTGAGAGGTTGACCAGTCCTTGATTAGCCAATAAAATATTTCCATAAGAAACTAAGAATTATGGCGTTTTTATTTACCTAAGTTTTAGTATAAGGCCAAAATATATGTCTATATTTCTGAGATGAGGTATTATTTACACTATTTACATTATTCGGACTATTGTCCACATCTTTGTCGCCATATTTATTACAACGTTTCGGCCGTTGTTCGCTCCGGCCTTCTTCAGTTGGTTGGAATGTCGAACTGAACCCTTTATTACGCTCACTGGTGTAGACTGTTCTAGTTCCACGTGCCATGGATGTCAGTTATCAGTTATATCCTGTTAATTTCCCTCTGCAAGTTCTCCACTGCCTTAACCAGGTATTGAACTCACACTCTTTGGCTCCTGTCAGTGGATATAACCAACTCCTCAAGAACACATGGAACAGTGGACAACAAGGCGTCTTATCGGGATACTGGAAGTTCTACGGATCATGGAAACATGCCATAACTTCTTTTGTTCCCAGGTCTGCCTTTACCTGAGGTGGTTGCACCTGTTAGGGTATCAGCTATGGGTAAATAGTCACCCCTCCCCCCCAAAAAAGTATACTTTTATAAAATTACCAGTAGTACATTTTTGTAGTAAAATTAACAGCAATACCTTTTAAAAAATTACGAACTATACATTTTATCTACAAACTATATACGAATACAAGGTTCGTCTAGATGTAATAAAATTCCAGTGGGAAAAAACACTATCTTTTAAAAAGTGCTCAATACACAGTAGAGCGAATAATATTTATTTAAAAATTGCCATGAAAATTTTTATAGAAAAGGCTCATGTGAGATAGCTTACGGCAGTGAGAAAGGGATTGAAACTTAGATGCCATGTTAGGATTGTTAACATAGCAGATTCTTTTTTGGATTTTGTCCAGAATCTCTAGATACATAGCAGAAGCATTAGAACAGATATGGACAAAATATTCAATGCATGGACAAATGGTAGACTGATAAATCCAGAAGAATATCACATTTGTATTTAGTCGGTGATAAGTGTACGACCAAGTACATTAAGAAATAAAAGAAAGGCTTAATTGTGAAAGCAAGCTAGATGATACATTCCAGAAATCTATGATTAATGACGCGGTCTTGTTGTTTGGTTATAACAAGAAATAAAGGAATTCATTTCACACAACACATTAATCCTCGCTTTTAACGATGTCTATATTCCTGACAGATTTCGCATGTGAAAGACACACGCACACGAGTTCGAGGCTAAATGCTTGGCATGTTCGCTCTCCGAAGACACGCTGAGTTCTTTATGCTATTTTCATGAGGAGATGAGCCCAGATCGTGGCACCATTGGAATGCATCTGAAAACCATACCAAGGTTTGAGCCAAGCCTTGTGACGGAACAGTTTGGAGGCTGTAGACGGTTGTGCGAGCACGAAGTCACATGTCATCGTGACCGAGAGTTAAAAAGTACTAGCCTGGTTAGAACCATTGATCATATTAGGTTATTTTGCGTGTGTGTGTGTGTGTGTGTGTGTGTGTGTGTGTGTTTCTGTATTGGTTTGAATACTAATAGGAGCGTTTATTTTGATCCTTTGTGTGTTGTGCGCGGTTGGAACGAGAGTGAGCGTCTTTCTATTTTTCCAAGCGGTTTCAACACCATTTCCATTGTTAAATAAGGCGAGGTTGATGGTGGGCGAGAGGTGTTTAATATGTAGGGACTCTCTTATAGTGAGATGTTTCCGGTAATTGGATTTATATAAAATTTAATCCATCTTACCTTATTTAACATCTTAAAGTCAAAACCTGAGAAATTAGCAACAACTAAACAAAACGCCCTTGAAAATGGCTAAAGAAGTGTCCGAAAGAGCTTAGGGCAGTAACCAATATGGGCGATTTTTGCACGCTCTTAATCCCACAAAACGGAAAAATGAAAGAATGTTGGAAAAAACAAATAAAAAATTAATAAAATTTTCCTTGTCTTTCATATATATATATATATATATATACCGGGTGTAACAGCAAAATTGTCCAAATCATGTAACAGCATAGGATAATTGTTCATCCCACAAAACATTTAATATCTAAAAAACACTAAACAAATTGGGTTTCTTTTTGCCAGGTTTTCAGATAAGACGTTTAGCCATCATAACACCATTTGTCGTAAGAATCACAGAAGAATCCATTTGAGTTATTCAAGTAGAAAGAGAACAGGTTAAAATCGTTTTGCGTCAGTCCACCTACATCTTTTCAAATTAGAAATGATGAGGAAAAAAAGATCATTCAGGCCTTCAATAATGGTACCAAAATTCCCTCTTCAAAGTCCATTTCAAGAACCATCAAGAGAACGGTGTTTAAAAAAGAGTGAATAGTAGAATGGAAAATTGGATCAGGAGGCCACAACAGCAACAGGGATCATCATTTCAACTTAGAGCTAAATACATTGTTCAAAGTAGAGTCCAATAGTTTTATAAAAACCTCGGAAAATTCCAGTAAGATATCTTTAATCATTTCTAAGTTACAACGGTTTAAAGCTTAATCTAACATTTGGACAATTTTGCTGTTACACAATTTGGAGAATTTTTGCTGTTTCGTAAGCAGATATAATCGTTTGGGAATGATCGTCGAAGATTTGTTGTTTATAAACAGTGATTCGGACTTTGCTAACCAGAAGCTTCTTTGTGGCAAAATGGTTAACTAAATATCAGATCAAGTGATGATTCTCTTTGGGGTTGCAGGTTCGATTCCACTGTACCACAAGGTCTCTGTATTCGGTTCCAATGGAATCCGAATTAGTGTCGGATATAAACTTTTTGACGAAGTCACAGAAATTAAAACGAACGAACCCGTTCGGTTAATCTCTATTTTTGTAAGGATATTTTTCTTCTGGGTGGCGAATTCAAACAAGATGTTTTTCCTGGCTCTTTTCCAGAAGAATCGTAAATTTTATTTCGGTGACCACCCGGGATCCTCTTTTGAAGTTTGCAGTTGCATTAGTAGTAATTTAAATTTCTAAGTTCTGGTCTCCAGACCCGACACATCATAAGTAACATATGTTTTTCTATTTGACATCTTCGAGGATACATTAATGGTTTCTTTCTTATCGGCAGGAATTGACGAACGACGGGTAGTCTTGGTTTTGCTCAATCTTACTGAATTCCATCGAGTTAAATTTGGGTTCGATTCTTCTTGGAACTGTTTGGTATTTCGTTTATTATTTTGAAATATAATTCTTCAACGCATTACGTTTTTAATTTTCTTCTCAACTTTTCAATTTACCTTCCTAAGAACTTCAACTATTATCATCCAGTTAGTAGACTCTTTCCTCTTTATTTTTCTTTCTTTCTATTTTCTGTTTGATTGACCTCTTGAGGTCCCAGTGTGACAGAATATTTAATTACAAAGATGATAGAAAGAAAAAGAGAAGAATCTAAATGAAATTATATCGACAAAACACATTCAATTTTTTTTCAAAATTCGCAGCGTCTTGTGTTTTGCGCATATCTAGTCGCATCAACGTAAATAAGTTCAATGAAGTCCTAACATTTTTACACTTTGTCATATATCATTCCTCCAATATATATATATATATAATATATAAATATATATCCAATTTGTTATATTAAGCTCTGAACCGTTGTATCTTAGAAATGATTAAAGATATCTTACTGGAATTCACCGAGGTTTATATGATACTATTGGACTCTAGTTTGTGCAATAATAATGTATAATCAGGACTGAAATTTTGCCCCAATATATATATATATATATATATATATATATATATATATATATATATATATATATATGTATGTATATATATATATATATATGTATATATATGTGTGTATATGTTGTGTGTGTGTGTGTGTGTTACAATGAATCATTCATTCAAAAAGTAAATTAGTAAAGTTAATGAGATAAAAAGCATCGGATGTGTAAATTTTCGGGAAAAATAACTGAGAAATTGCTCTACTTATTGTATTAGTTCATGCCACGTTGACTGATACACTCCTACAACAAAAAAATTCCATATTAGTAAAAAACGCTCTCATTTAAATTTTCAAAAATTCAACCTTAGCGTTGCGACTGCATGCTCCAAAAGTTTGTATCTGTTATTAATAACATATTTAAAAAAAAGAAATATTTCGATTCGCATTATATTTTTTCGTCCAGGATGTTACCTGAATTTTCCCAAAAAGAAAATAGTTTTCATGCTTGATGAAGACCGGAGAATATGCCGAAAATACTTACATATTTAAGGAAGACCAAATACAGTTTATAATTTTAAAAAACAAGGATCATAACATTTATTGAGTGGTTAGTGGGTTAATGTATCTTTAAAATTTTGTTAGTGAAGTGAATTCGCTATTTTATATCATTAACTTTACTAATTTACTTTTTGTATGAATGATTGATTGTAAGATAAATTAAACTGCACTACATATTTGATATATATATATATATATATATATATATATATATATATATATATATATGTGTGTGTGT